GAGGGACAGTGAGAGGGAGAGGGACAGTGAGAGGGAGGGGGACAGAAAGAAGGAAAGTGAGAGGGGGGGGACAGTATGAGGGAGGGAGAGGGACAGTGAGGGAGGGAGAGGAACAGTGAGGGGGAGGGACAGTGAGGGAGGGAGAGGAACAGTGAGGGAGGGAGGGAGAGGTATGCACACAGGTTGGGTAAGGGTAGGTGCTCGCTGGGATGGAGCTGGGGTGGAGCCAGGACCCCAGGGGCCAGGCAGGTGCCCCACTCTGAGCCACACTGCAGTCCCCGATTTTCCTTTTACATACAGTGCAGGTGGCAGGGCAGGGAGCCCACCCGGCCCTGTGAGGCCGCTGGGTGGGTGCCAGTGCTATGGGACTCCAGAGGTGCGAGCGCCCCTGGGGCGTTCAGGGACTTTCCCCTTCCAGGCTGGGCCAAGTCCTGCCCGAGGCCCCGTCTGCTCATCTGCTCTGAGCCTTTGAGAGAGGACGCTGCCTCCAGCGCCCCCCAGTCTCCACCAGGAGCCCATGCTCAGGGTTCTGACTGGCCGTGAGAGGAGGGCAGGGCGCGTGTCAGCAGTGTCCCCGTGTGTGGGGTGGGGCGGGGCAGCAGGTCCTGCCTCCTGCTAGTGCCTTCCTCTGGGGAGGCTGGCGGGGGGGCCTACGGGGCCTCTGGTCCTTCTTAGGGTCAGTCTGGGGGCAGGCGGAAGGGACTCGCTCCTTCTTGCAGCTGAAGGTCACACGTGTTTGGTGCTCAGCAATCTGAAGACTCCCTTTTGCTTCCCAGGTCCCCGTGGGCATGGGTTTGAGTCACACCTGCCAGGGGAGAGTGGGGTGCCCGGGTGGCTTCCTGATCTCCTGTTTCCTTCCAGAGGAGGTGGACCTGGGCACTGAGTGAGGACACAGTGGACAGTCCTGAGTGTCACTGGTCCGGGGCCACTTGCAGCAGAAGGTGCTGCCCTGATGGCTGCTCTGCTTTGCCCTGTCTTCCAGGACCTGGTGACCATGGTGGAGCAGCTGGCCAGATTCCTGGGTGTGTCCTGTGACAAGGCCCAGCTGGAGTCCCTGAGCGAGCACTGCCACCAGCTGGTGGACCAGTGCTGCAACGCGGAGGCCCTGCCTGTGGGCCGGGGTATGTGTCCCGCCTCCCTGCTCAGGACCCCCGCCCCCCTCTGTTGCTGCCCTCGGGCTCTGGACCATTTACAACAGTGCTTTTCTGGCTGTGCCATCTGCTTTGCCAGGGCAAGATGTTCATTTGCCAGCCAGTGCCCACAGGTGGCGTGGTGCTTGAGCAGTCAGTGCCGAGCCCACCATTGCTTGGGACCATGAGCCGTGTTGCTTATGGGAGGGCGGCTGCTGGGGTGTTGAGGCCAGATGCTTTCAGACAGGGAGCCTTCCAGAGGGCTGGCATCCAGGGCCCTGCAGAGCAGCCCCCAGGATGGCTTCAGTGCCGGGAAAGGACAAATGTAAGGTGTGGACGGGCCCTGCAGCCTCTGCTTGGCTAGAGGAGCCCCAAGTCATGCAGAAGCAATTCCCGAGGGAGGAGGCCCTGCCTTCCTTCCTTCACCCAGGGGACACTGTCCCAGGGTCTTTGGGGTACAGGTGGCACAGGTGAGGAGTGACCTAGCCCTGGGGTGAGCAGTGTGTATAGGCAGGTGTGTGCCCTTGCAGCAGGAGATGGGGAAGGTAGTCCAGGCAGGAGTCCCCCCAAGGCTGCCTGCGTTGCCCCCCTATCCATAGGGCCATGGGCATCCGACTCTGCTCGGCAGTAGGGAGTTTGGGCACTAAAGTCCCCAGGATGAATCCTGGGGTGGTGGCCATGGCCACCCAAGCCCCTTACTGGTAAGTATGACTCTCATCCATGTGGGGGTGTAGACCTGAAGCTGGTGGCAGTGTGAACTGGAACTTGCAGGGGGCAAGAAGGTTCAAGGGGGACACAGAGCCTCAGGTGGTGTGGGAGGTGCCCGTGGGGAAGATGAGAGCTGGCTGGGTCCCAGCACGGCTGTCTCTGGAGAGAGACCTGGCTCAGCCCTCCAGCACCCAAAGCTCCTTGTCCTTTGTCTAAAAGGGGTCGACACCACCAGGGGAGGCCAGAGAGCCAAGCACAAAGGGCCTCCCGGGAAGGCTGCGGCTCCAGTAGGAGGCAGGGGAGGCAGGTTGTGGGCTGTGTGGTGCCGGGTGTGCCCCCGCCTCTAGCCATGCTGGCCCTGCAGGAAGAAGCCAACCAAACCAAATGCACCCTGATGTATTCCTGGCTGCATCTTCACGAGTATCTATTATTTGAACTTTGTTTGCTGTTTTCAGTTTTGCATTTGCTGTTTTGTTCTGGCCCTCTGTGTGTGTGTGTGTGTGTGTGTGTGTGTGTGTGTGTGTGTGTGTGGTGAGCGTGTGGGGACGCCGCGCCCTGGGCTCCTCCTGACTGTGTGCTTGGTCATTGTCTGCCTTGGTTTCGCTTTATTTCAGTTCTGTGGTTTTGTTTCCTTTTAGCACATTGCCTCTTTGCTCAGAAGATCTCCTTGAGCTGGTGAGAGCGCAGGGCTCGGGTAGCCAGCCGCATTGCTTAAATTTGATTCATATCACAGCATAAATTGTCTTGATTCCAAATCCTAAACCAGGTGGGTGATCCTTCAACCAGAGCTCAGCTGCCTCGGCTGAGAAAATAAGTCACGGAAAAATGTAACTGTAGAGTGGTTGGTCTAGAAGCTTCTAATTTTGTCCTTTTGGTGCAATTAGAAGGGAACACGAACAATTTCTCTTTTATTTTTTTCCTCTCCAATGCTGATAGTTTTTCATTCCCAAAGAGAACACTGCCRGGCGGCTTTTGCTCAGCACCTGCCGGGCCGCATCTTCCCACCTGAGGTCCTGCCAGGGCAAGGGCGCTGCCCATGGCAGAGCTCACAGCAGAGCTTTGCTGGAGACGTCAGGGGCGGAGAGCCGAAGGGTCTGACGGAGCCGGCCAGTCCTTCTCGGCCAGTCCTTCGGCGTGACTCAGCCAGGGCCCTGTTCCCCMAGGTGGCAGCTCCGAATCCCCACTCGGCACTTCAGAGCCCCCATAACTGTTTAGACCTGCCCAGCCTGTTGTCTTTAGCAGACTTTCACCAAGCCTTCATCTGCTAGTGCCCAGCCTGCCCAGTGCCTGTCCAACCCCAGCCTCGCCCAGCTGCCCGGCAGAGGTCTGGCTCCCACCACCAGGTGGAGCGATACCTACTTAGGCTTGAGCTGAGGACCTCTCGCATCCTGTCTAATCTCAGAAGCCACTCTGCCCGTGAGTGTGTCATTCCCTCTGAGTCCCCAGGGCTCTTGAGTGTGCTTCCTGAAACTCCTGGGACCGCCAGGAGGGCTTGCTCCTTGCCAAGATATTTCCTGCCTTTTGAATGATTTTTTTTTTTCTTCTTTTTCAAGTTCTCCAGAGGCAAGTGCTGTTGAGCTCTGAGGAGTCACGGTGTCCTGAGGACCCCAACTCCACATGACGCCACAGCGCATGCACCCCACAGGTGGCATTGCTCTCTGGGTGTTTACTAAGCTCCCCTCTGTGCCGCATGCTGCTACAGGTGCTGGGGAGTCAGCCAGGAACAAGAGGTAGCGTCCCTCCTGGCGGGCCTCAGGTCCGTGAGGCTCTCCAGCACAGTACGTGGCAGCAGCTGGCTGGGCCCACTTCACTCCCAGACCCAGAGGGATTTGGTTCCATGTATGTCCTGCCATACACAGTAGTTCAAAAACACAGGGGACCCAGCTGGGCTGTAGCTCAGATGGCCCATCCTGCCCCCACAGGCCAAGTTTAGAGGGGTCCAGGAATAGATCTGGAGCCTTCCAGATCAATTTCCAAGGCTTCCTTTGGTCTGCTAGCTGGTCCAGCAACAGGTGGGTACACACGCTCTGCTCTGCTCTGTTGCAGGGCGGGTCGGGCTGTGGAAGGACATCTTCACCGTCTCCATGAACGAGAAGTTCGATCTTGTGTATAAACAGAAGATGGGGAAGTGCAACCTCACCTTTGACTTTTATTTATAGTAACAGAAACAGCAAACTTGCATGCCCTCAGTACCCAGACGCTCTGCTAGCTAAAAGTCCGTATGCATTCATTTATTCCTTGCTGGACACACTCTGGAAGCAGCGTGTAAACAACGGGAAGAACCCAGCGGAGAACCCGGAGAAGGGTGCGGATGCCCACCAGGCGGCGTCTCGCCCTCAGCATTTGCAGTCTCTGCTGTGTACAAACCTCATGGAGTGCAGTCCTGGTGGCTGTGCCACTCTAAGTGTGGCGCCTGCACCACGGGTGGCCAAGTGCTGCCTGTACCACCCTGTGCCACTTACTGTGTTTTATAGAGCTTTTCACTGGAAGTCTGAATAAATGTCGGTAAACCAAATAGAAGTTCACTTTTGGGGGGAAGCAAGAGTGAGCCACTCCCAAACGGCAGGAAGATCTCAGGGTTGCCTCTAGTCTGGTCACCTAAGCCACAGCCATTCCGTTCCGCTCTTGCCTGGCCTGCAATGGTGAGAGTGTGGGGTGGGGGGAACCTGCCTGGTTTGGGTGGAGGTGAGTCCTTTGACCCTTCCTGACACCGGGCAGATCCTGTTCTCAGGCCAGAGCAGAGGATTCCATGGAAGTTTCTGTGGGGAAATGTGGCTGCGAGGTCAGCAGCGCTCGAGAGCAGTGAGTGGAGGGTCTGCCAGAGAGACCTGGATGCTCTGGAGTCACGTTCGAACTGTAGTCTAACCTTTTGTCCCTGGGGCAGTGGCACACCTGTGCTGGCAGTCAGTTTCCCAAAACCCCTGACTTGCATTCAGCTTGTTCCAGCTGTACGTGAGGCCCAGGGCCAAGGGTCTTGAGCTGTGAACCAAGGGCCATGAGCTGGCCTGCAAGTTGAGCTCCCTCACCAGAGGGCTTGGCGAGCCGCCCTTGTCTGTCTACCCCACACCTTGGGGTATCTGAGGGAACAAAGGTGATGTGTCATTGTCCCACCACCTGAATCTTCTGGCCCACACTCAGCTGGAGGCGATGGAGACTCAGAGGTGGGCTGCTGCCAGCTGCAGGTGGCGTGCAGCCTGCTACTACAGGGGGCTGCATGGTTTCTGACTCCCGATGGGGTCGCTGCTGGGGAAGGGGCTCTGCAGCGGAGGCTGTCTGAAGCAGGTGCAGCGGGAGGCTGGTGGTTCTGTTCCTGATGGGGCACCTGGCGCTACGCGGAGGTGGTGGCGCCTTTTTTGTGTGTCCGGGACAGGCTGCGTTCTGTGAAATTTCATTTCTATTTTTCTATTTTTTGCACTGGGTGGTGTCACCGAGCGCCACCTGGTGTTGCTGTGCTTGCTGCATCTTGAATAAAGACACTTGCCCTGCCTTCTGTCGTGAGTGTGCTGGGGGTGGAGGATGGTCCCTGTGGGTCCTCAGCACTGTGGGACAACAGGAGGGTGAGCCACATAAATGTCCCATTCCTTGAGGTTGATTACAGAGGGGAACTGGCTGCCTTGAGACCAGAATCAGGCTGTTTAACTCACAGTTTCCAAGGTTTGGCTCCCTGTGTTTTGGTGTATTTTTATTTATTCACAGAGTACAACCCCGTGTGTGGATAATTAGGATCCCTTTCACCTTTTATAAAGAGGTGGCTGGAGGGAGGAGAGGTTTCCATGCACCTGTGGGGTGGGCCTCCGCCTCTGCAGCCTGCCAGTCAGCACTGTGTCCTGGGGTTTGCCAGGGACAGCTCTAAGCAGTCAGGGTTGCACTGCCCCCCGTGAATTCCAAGGCCTCTCCAGGGTCCTTATCAAAGGGAAGGTGACATTTTTTTTTCTTGAGAAAGCAAAAGCTTCCTGGAGAATCTTGTTTACTGTCAGGTGAGTGACTCCCTCCAGGCCACAGGTGAAACCCTCTCCCGTGTCTGGTTGGTTCATTGCATGTCCCTCCTGCGTTGCCCTGCTGTCTGCCCTGGGGCATGCACCCACCTGAAACACCGCAGGGAGCTTGTGGAGTCCAAAGGCAGTGCATGGTGGGCTCGCTCCACCCCACACCTGCTCTGCTGATGTCCCCTCATTTCAGGGTATCTTTTATCCACTAGATACTTGAGCACCTGCTCTGTCTTGGGCCATGTGCAGAGCAGCAGCAGAATAGTGAGACAGCCCAGCCTCCAGGCACGTGTGTCCCAGTGGGGAGAGAAGTCAGCCAGACCTGAGGCCAGGTCAGGGTCCAGAGTGCTGGCAGAGAGCTGGGGAGCAGGCTGTGGAGGAGTGGGAGGCGCCCCCTCAGGGAGCCACTGAGGAAAGGCTGGGTGGCGGCAGTGTGCCCGCGGGCCCCAGGCACTCCTATGGCAGGAGCTTGCTTTGGAAGGGGTTTTGCACTAAAAAAGAAGTCGTGGGTGGTTTGTTTCATAGGAGAGGACACCTGCTTTGCACCTTCCAAGGCTTCCCTGGCTGCCCTGTGAGTCACCTGTGGGGCCGCCCATACTGTGGCGCAGGCAGGCTCAGCATGAAGACATCTCTAGGGTCCCTCCCCACCTGGAAGTCTGGTCTCGGCATTCATGGGTCCTGAGTGTCATTTGCAGTTCCTACCTGCTGCCTCCGAGCTGTGATGAGGGATTATCAGCTGGGCCATGAGGAACCATGAGGACACAGGTAGAAACAGGTGTGAGGGTGGCGTGGGTGGCTGGAGGAGTTAGTGTGCTGAGCGCAGCTGGAGTCCAGCAGGGCCTGCTGGGAGGAGCCTGGACAGGCAGAGGGTGAGGGTGCCCAGGTGGCTGCTGTGAAAACAGGCCACTAGGAGCTCGTGTCCGTCAGTGGTTGCCCTTTATTTCACATGCCAGGAAGGTGCTGGGATGCGTCTGGGTGGACGTAGGTGTATGTGTACTTGTGAGTTGGTGCTGCAGCCCTGGGCAGAGTGTGTGACCGCAGCCTCCCCAGGCTGGGGCCCTGCTCCGACACCAGGTGTTTGGAGCTTATCCTGTTTTCCCTCCTGGCACGGTTACTGACCTGAGTGGGGACCAGCATGGGCTCCATGGCATTCCACCGGATGCTCCTCTGACCCAGCATCGTCATGTGCAGGAGGACAGTCACCTTTGTCCCATTCACTTTCAGAATGGTCATGACACCACCATGGCCCTTAAACAACACTCAAACCCCTACCCAGCTGCCCTGCGCCAGCTCCGCCTGGTGGCCAGGGTGCTGTTGCCAGCTCATGGCCTCAGTTCTGTGGTTGAGGAGTGCACAGTGGTGGTCACAGCACTGCAGAGGGACGCCAGTCAGCTACAGACCCTACTGCGCACAGGCCCCACCTTCCTGGGCTGGGGATGGAGCTAGTGTTGGAGGAGTCTTGGTGCCTGGGCTCTGTGGCACCAGCCCTGTTCTCTGGAGTTCTCCCTCCCCACTCGGAACCTTGAGCTCCTCCATGCACAGCATGCACTGCAGTACGGGGATGGCACCTTGGTCAGGGTCCAGCCTTGCCCAGCAAGGAACGGCCTCTGACATCCCCAGCAGCCGGATGCGGGGTCCCTGGTAAGCTTGCTGCCTCCAGATGCTGTGCAGTCTCTAGTGACCTTGAGGCACTGTCCCTGCCAGCTGTGTCTCTGCACCTTGGGATGTTCACTTCCTCACCCTGGGCCCCCAGCCCTGCTGCCTCCGCCTGGGGCGAGACCCTCTCCTTCCCTGGTCTGCAATCCCTCATGCTCCCTACTGTCCTCTCTTTGTGCCCACCTCGGTGTCCTGTGGCCGTGTCCCTCAATGAACAGCCATGCTCTGAGAGCAGCAAAGGTTCTGTCTTCCTAGGTCAGAGGTGGGCACATGGTCAGTGACTAGTGAGTGAAAGGCCATTCCAACTGCCAGCGCTGCTTTCCTTTCTGGAAGCTGCCCACCCTGTACCACTGCAACTGGCTGGCTGGTGGAGGCTGCATCTTCTGAGCCGTCACCTGATGACCCCATGCCCTGGCCCCAGTTCTGAGTGTCTGTTCCTTTACTGTCCATGCCATGGACCCTGCTTATTCCTGAGGTGCAGCCTGGAAGTCGCTGGCTGTATGGATCCAGGCRGGATCGCAGGGTGGCTGTTCCTGGTGCTCCCTTTCCCACCTCTCCTCTGCCCCTGCCCTCAAGCTGAGGCACGTGGTGCCTATGAAGCTGCCGGCGTCCCTCCTTGGTCACGCCTGTCTCCTTTCTTCATCTCTTGGCATTTACCGAGCACCTACTCTGTGAGGCCTGGTGCTGGGTGCTGGGGACCCACCATTCCATTCCATGGGCTCTGCTCTGAGTCATCACCCCATCAGTATGGAAAAGGGCCTGGTGGGGGGCAGAGGTGGCTCTGAAGTCTAGGTGCTGGAACTGGGCAAGGCGCCTGCCCTCCCAGCCTGGGCCTCCGTTTGTTCACTGTAGTCTTGTAGTCTGTTTATGGCTGAGGGACTGTCCCCACCTCCGCAACAGGAATGGTGGAGAGTGACCTCTGCAGAGATTGGGAGCAGACAACCTCAGGGCTGCAGAAAAGCTGCTTGTGTGAGAAACCCAGTGGGAGCTGGGTCTAAAAACAGGGCAGGAAGCAGAGGGAGCGTGCAGGAGCATGGACAGAAATACAGCAGGCCATGCCAGGTCAGGCAGCCTCGCCCAGTCCCCCCTGCAGTGCCAGGTCCAGCTCTGTCCACATCCAGGAACTCAAGCAGGGTCCTTTCATCCCAAGGTGAAGAGGTCTCAGCCCAGAGCCTTGGGAGACTCCTTTGTGTGGTCAGATTGCCTACCGACCAGCTCCACAGAGGAGCTAATGAAGCCAGTGACTTTGTAGCCGAGGAGGGACGGGCCAGCAAGAGAATCAGTCGCAGAAGCACCTGCCACAGATTGGCCTGCAGTCCCCATCTCCAAGGCGTGCTAAGCTCTTGCCAAATCTGCACATCAAATGACAATTTGATTCGCACACTTGGATTCCTGCGTGCTGGTTGGCATGGAGCGTCTGAGCTGCAGTCCTTAAATCTGTCTCCTGCCACGAGGAAAGGAGCCTGTGCTTATTAAAAGCAGTTTTTTTTTAAACCAAAGAATGCTAAGTGTGTCTAAAAAATAAAAACCAACCAGAAAATGCATTGTATCTTTTTTGAAGTTGTCATCTTTACATATATGCATGGTATCGGGCACCAGCTGGGAACAGGAGTCTGAGAATATTGTGAGCAAGGCCATCTCTGCAGAAGGACCACTCCCTCCGTGTCACCAGGGACTTGACTCGTCTGTACCTCCTCAGAAGACTTCAGTGAATGGCCCAATCGCCATTCTTGGTGCTCCTGTCTCAGC